ATGCTCTGAATTTAAAATCTTATCTCCTATTTTTTGAAAAAAAAATTCTCCAACAAAACCTATACCTGTGAAAAATTTTGTTGGGTCCTAGTTCTATATACTTTGTACCCGATAAAAATATTTTATTGTAAATAATATTAGCTTGAAAATTATCTCTATATAACTTTTAACTATGTTATTTGCAGTAGGAGAGTTATTACTTTATTGAGTATAACATCATATAATCAATCCAATGCAATTGATAAGTACTTTTTTAGCACTTGTCGAAACCGATCTTGCTAGCTACAAAATTGATTATAATAGAATTTTATTCTATCAACACACCCACACCCCTCTTTGTTTTTCTACACTTTGTTAAAAAATTGCTTTCATACAACAGTGTAGAAGATATTTTAATTGATTTTCGGAATCGATTAAGATATCTTAAGCCACTTGAGAAGTCCCTTAAGCAAGGACGAAACCGGTCGTGGTACGCTTAACTTAATTATATCAAAAACCATCTGCTGAATACCTTCAGCACGGACTAAACCAAGCATGGTTAAACTTTGGCACACACACCCTCACACCATCTCGCTTGCTGAAAAGCAAAACTTGGGATAATCAGATTGATTTATCTTTTATTTAGAAGATGAGTCGATCTGTTTTCGATTGATATACTCATCCGCATCGGAATAAATAAAGAGGAAACATAGTTAAGAATATGAGAGAAGGCAACTAACTAGTCCATAATTTCCGATTTTGGTGTTGGAAGTTGTGTTTGTAGAAGTTCCTTATAAAGAAAAAAAAATAATGAATTAATTCAGTGCCATGAAGTACTTGAAATGATAATCTCAAAAAAGAATGGGCGAATGATACGGTAAATCATTAGCGACATTCTGTTAATGAATTCTTATCGAAACAGTATATTGAGACAGCATACCTACCTTGTTAATTATTACAGCAATACTTAACACCATTACCAAGCATACTAACAGTAACACCACAACAACCACCACTATTAAGACTACCAGTTGTAGGATTATAAGTAACAGTACAACCACCAAAATAACAAGTAAGACCGCGACAAGGAAAAGGTGCACCATAAGTAAGAGTAACACAATTACTTTGACGTTTGTTAATTAAATGACGAACACTGTCATCGACCTCAGCTTGATTGACTACGGTCCGTGCCATGCAGCTTATATTCATCAACGCCAAGAAGACGATTAAACAAATAGATTGGCTGATTTTTTGCATTGTACTTGGTTTCTGTTCGACACTTGAAGCGAGAATAGTAGATGAATACAAGCAAGTAGGTAAATGGTATTTTTCTATAGTAGTGCTTCAGCGATATATATCTTTCGCTCGCCCACTAACAAGGAATCAATAAGAAAATAATCTCTAAAAAATTGAAAATGATTAACTGCTTTATCACGCAAAAGAGAAATAACAGGTGATCAATACTTTAATTTCGCCATACTGTTGGATCTACATTCAGCGAAAATAAGAGGTAATAGATATCCCAATCGCTTATTACTGTTCGATCACTATTGAGGGCCAGGGGTGAGTTTAATCTCAAAGAATAGTTAGCTTCAAACCAGTATCCGATGCGTTGCGATTCGAGCTCAACTCCATCATCAATAAGGAATCCTTAGAATCTAAATACCACAACGGTTCGAAAGCAAACAAATCAACGATTTACTCTTTAAGAGAACGCCCATCAGTCCATCAAGGAATGGAAGCACTCGATAAAATTTTGACTTTTCATTTGATGTTCTCATCGGGCTCAGCATAGTTTGAAACCTCGAAATCTGAACTTTTAGCGATTTTAGTTGAGCTGGTAAAAATTTGGGTGTGGGTGTGGGTGTGGGTGTGGGTGTGGGTGAGGGTGTGCGTGTGGGTGCGGGAGTGCGTGCGGTGTGGGTGTGGGTGTGCATGTGGGTGTGGGTGTGGGTGTGGATGTCGGGGTGGGGGTGTGGGTGGGGGTGAGGGTTGGTGGGGGTGTGGGTTTTTAGGGTGAAGAT